CGTCTAAAGAAACACACACTGATCAACGCTGTGGAAAATCTGGAGGATTATATATGCCAGAAACACGAGAGACCTCTGGAGCTGTTCTGCAGAGATGATCAGACGAGTGTGTGTCTGTCCTGCACTGAAGGAGACCACAGGACTCACAACACTGTTCCTATAGAGGAGGAGAGTCAGGAGAAGAAGGCAAGAGATGCAAACAAAACAATATAAACACCCCATGAAAAACAGTTTATTTTCTCTGTGTTGACATGTTGAAGAAATTGTTCCTGTTTTATGGGAAGGGTCGGTCACACTACACTTTTCATTTCATTGATCAAATCATAAAAATTCAAAATAAATGATTTAAACACTTGAACACTAAAAATAGAAAAAAATTTTATTTGTTTACCTGCATGTCACTATTTAGAGACATTGAACTGCAAACGTGAATGTGTTGTTAAATTATTGAAATATTACCTTCCTCTGAGATATTTCAAGTAAATATTTCATGTCAAAGGGGTTTGGATGACAAAAAACTTTGGGAATCCCTGCATTACATAAACAAACATGAATAAACATAAAAACAACAATTGACATCACAAGCCCAAAGTCTTCCAGTTTTGAAATATTTTTGTCCAGATTTCCGGAATCAGTAGTTACTGAATATGATGAAGCTATATCTGGTAATTTGCGTAATTATTTGTTTAATACATGGTCTAATTGCTTGAGAGGTGGTTTTTCACCCAAATTCAGAGGCATGGATCACAAAATTATTTACATGACATTTACATGGCCATTCGGTATTGTAAATATAATCAAAGATAAATGGTATGACAGCAGGAATTTTAGAGAGAAAATTTTATGAGAAAAAAAGAAGAATTAGGGGGACCAATAAATTATGAATGATTTACTGCTATTGTGTTGATATGTAATCATGTAATTCAGTGAAAAGTAACTGTAATCTGATCATGAGACTTATAAAATGTAAAATACTGAAGAATAGAAGAATGTGATGATTTCGCCACATTCTTCACAGACAAAACTAGAACAATCAGTAGTCAATTCTCAGCCCCACACACACACAGGACCTCAAACCAACCACATCCACGCCTGATTGTTCTGTTGTCTGTTTGCCTCTTTAAGAAGAATTGCTTTATGTATTGCCAAATTGTAAGTCGCTTTGGATAAAAGAGTCAGCAAAATGACTAAATGTAAATGTAAATACTCAATGAGTATTTCATTTTTTGAAATCTGAACATGTAATCCAGATTACATGTAATTAGTTACTACCCAGCTCTGGTTATGTGTTGAATTTAAGTTTTTAAAAAGACACTGCAGAGCGTGACGTCATAACACAACTGTTGCAGCTTCTGAAGAAATGTTACATGCTCAAAGTCTAGTGTGACCGCAGCTTTACCCTAAAAACTGTCAGAAGATGGAAAGTTAAATTCAGAGATAAATGTGTTTTTCTCTGTCTGTAGAATCATCTGGTTCAGACACAGACAGACGTGCAGCAGATGATCCAGAACAGAATGAAGAAGATTCATGAGATCCAGCACTCAGCAGAGAAGAGAAAGGTGAATGGAGATAAAAAAAATAATTATACATCATAACATTTTAGTCTGAATAATAAAGGTGCTGAATTAAATGGATAAAAAATGCACGTTTCAAGTGACATGAGGACAGTAGATGAGAGAAATTTTATTTTTAGTTTAGTTTATTTGTGTACAGGACCATGCACATTAATAAACAAGATTGTACATGTGCCAGAATTAGAACATTTGTTAATTGATCTCATTGATCAGAGGAACACCAATAAAGAGAAATCAGCCAGTGTTGAGCTCTTCATTGATCTGATCCGCTCTATTGAGAGACGTCAGTCCAAGCTGCTAAAGATGATGGAGGAACAGCAGAAAGCAGCAGAGAAACAGGCTGAAGATCTCATTAAAGAGCTGCAGCAGGAAATCACTGATCTGAAGAAGAGAAACACTGAGCTGGAGCAGCTCTCACACACTGACGATCATCTCCATGTCATACAGGTCTGTCAACATCTGCCTCATCACAATAATATATGACAATATTATTTGTCACATGCTCTGTTGACCGATGAGCTGCTGTCTTTAGAAACTGTACAAAAGAGAATAAACCTGTAATAAAATCAGATTATAAAAGTTAATTATCTGTGTTGGAGAGCTGCTGCATAAAACATTTAATTAGAGTAAAAAAATGAACAGTTTTCTCTCTCCTGCTGTAGATTTTCTCTTCCTGTGCAGTCGTCCACACACCAAGAACTGGACTGAGATCTGCATTGACTCTCATATGGACGTGCTCCCTCTGCATAGTGCTTTGATTCGACTGAAGAAAACTCTAGATGGGATTCTAAATGAAAAACTCCGTCAAATTGGTATGTAAATATCAAATACAGTGAACAGATTTCTTATGTGAAGTTCTATCCAAACGTAAGCTCTTGTCAAAAGCAGTTAAATCAGCATTATTTATGAATACCAGAAAGCAACATGTAATGACCATGATGTAACTATCATCATACCTGTACAAACTCCACTATCAGGAATTGCATTAGTAACACAAACAATAACCAAAAATCTGACTAAAAACATTTTTCCACCTCACATTGCAATTTAGAAACTTTACAGCTCAAATAACACATATTTATACTGAATTGTTAATATTAATAATTAATGCTTTAATATGTAATGAATATTAGAGCTGAAATAAAACATTTCTTAAAAAAATATCTCTAAAATTGTATTTATTTACTGGAAACACATTTACTGTAAGCACAAATTCTGCTTTACAAACTGATGGACGGTCCACATTTACATGATGCTGAGGCTGCCAATAGAGATAAACTCACTGTTAACATGAAATTATTCCTATAAATGACTCATCACTGTTTATTGTCATCTGTATCCACAGGGTTGAAGTGTGTGCAGAAGTTTGCAGGTACAGTGTGACTGACACCAATTACTCCGATACACTTATAATACTTAATCTGTATTATATGCACATGAAAATGTTTGTTGTGAAGCTGACTGATGTCTAATCTCTCATCTAGTGGATGTGACTCTGGATCCTGATACGGCGCATCGATATCTCATCCTGTCTGATGATGGAAAACAAGTCAGGCATGGAGACAATAAGCATTACCTCTCAAACAACCCACAGAGATTTGATGTCTGTTCTTGTGTTCTGGCAAAGCAGGGATTCCGTTCAGGCAGATTTTACTATGAGGTGCAGGTGAAGGGAAAGACTGATTGGGAATTAGGAGTGGCCAGAGAATCCATTAACAGGAAGGTGATGAACACACTGACTCCAGAGAATGGATTCTGGACTTTGATTAAGAGGAATGAGAATCAATATACAGCTTGTGAAAGTCAAGCTGTCTCTTTATCTCTGAGAGTGAAACCTGAGAAAGTGGGAGTGTTTGTGGATTATGAGGAGGGTCTGGTCTCTTTTTATGATGTGGGCTCCAGCTCTCATATCTACTCTTTCACTGATCAGACTTTCACTGACAAACTCTATCCATATTTTAGTCCAGGCCGCGATGATGAAGGTAAAAACACAAACCCACTGATCATCTCACCTGTTAACAAATAATTTGCCCTGAAATATGAGACATGTTATCTGGATAGATTAACTATGTAAAGGCTGTTTTTTAAATGAGTAAAATATGTAAATAAAAACAAACAAATACACATTAATATCCATATTAATAACAATAATAAAAAATAAATATTTGTAAATTACAGAAAAAAGTAAGATGTCACAGCTAAAGACTGGACCATGAAAACCATAAATGTGATTTTCATTTCCCCAAAGGGAAGCTCATTTGAATAAATATGGACATTTTTCGACCTGGTGTGCAAAATACAATTTTTTTGTTTATTTTTAATTTTGTCATAATATTGAATACAAATAACTTCATATAACCACAATTCTGAGAAAGTTGGGATTCTGTGTAAAATGTAAATAAAAACATAATAGAATGTTTGCAAATCTCATAAACCTATATTTTATTCGCACTAGAACATAGAAAACATATCAAATGTTTAAACTGAATAAATGGTAAAATGGTACATTTCCTGTTTAAACATTTGATATGTTTTCTATGTTCCAATTGTTTTTTATTTATTTATTTATTTAATTAATTTATTGGAATTGTGTCTGTGTGTGTGTGTGCGTGCTACTGGGGGGCGGTATCACATTTTTTGAGGGCGTAAACGATTGTACATTGCGTGGTTTTTCGCACATACACACAATAATAATATCAAACGATAGACCTCCTCGTTCTGAACAACTTTGCCTCTAGAACCACTGCTGTCAATCAAACTGTTATTTAAACGATTGAGTAGATGTGAAAAACCTACTTTTGCGAACTTGTCCTAGGTTTTTCGCTCAATCTGAAAAAAACACTGCAGTGCAATTTTCTGGATTCTCTAGGTCAATAATTATCCCAAAAATTCTGAAATTTACCCTTTGAGAAGCTATAACTGGGTCGTTTAGAAAAGGGCCCTGTCCAAATATACCCAAAAGCCTATAAAGCCTAAACGAAAACTCAAAACTTCACGAAACCCAGTGAGCATATGCGACGGGTGATTCTAAACAAGCATGCAAAGTTTCAAGGAGATCGGACCACAGCTGGCACTATAGCAGTTAACTCTTTCCCCGCCATTGATGAGATATCTCGTCAATTAAGAGAAAACTCTTCCCCGCCAAAGACGAGTTTTTACGGCAATCCATGTTCTAGGTGTATTATGGTAAGGAAAGCCCTAGCGCATGTCCTGAATGAGTTACGGGACTTCCGGGTCTTCCAGGTGCAAAAACAAGACGATCAGTATAAACGGATGGATCAGAGAAAATGTAGATCATATATGTAGATCATAAATGAAGAGGTATACAGCTGAACAGGCACTGGAGGTTTTGATGGACTCTGACTCTGACACTCATGTTTTGATAATTTTGAAACTAATCGGGACGAAATAGTCAGTGAGGTGGATGACTTTACAGACACAGAAACATCTCTAGTTGTGTCGTGGATAGACCAATAACCCGTCAATCTGAATGTATATCTGCATTCAAGTGGTGATAAAACATGAAGTCTATGAAGATAGAATAAAATAGATTTTTTTTTAAGCAGAGGCTTGGTTGTTTATTTTGCTATATAATATGTTCATATATTCATAGCAGAAAATATTCTGAGGGCCGTCAAATTTAGGAAAAAATCATCAAAAATACTAGTGGTGGCTGGCAACTTTTTTTTTAAAAACTCTGTCGGGAAAGAGTAAAAAAGGTTTCAAAAACACTGTATGTTTATGGTAAATTACCTAAAATTGCAGAAAACTTTCATACATTCGCGCATACACCAGATCTTCCCATCGTGAGATAGATCTCCTCATTCTGAACAACTTTGCCTCTAGGACCACTGCTGTCAATCAAACTGTTCTTTATAATATTTGAGATTATTTAAAAACCTACTTTTGTGAACTAGTCCTAGGTTTTAAACTCAAAATCAATAAAATCACTGCAGTAGAATTCTTTAGTCTCTCTAGGTTTATATTTATCAAAAGAATGTTGAACATTTGCATTTGGACAGCTATAACAGGGTCATTTTAAAATATAGCCTTGATACAGTGTACCCAAAACCCTATTTAAAAAAAAAAGCCACACCACCTCAGCCTACACCAGGCCCCGACACCCCCCCCACTCGCTGTCCAGGAGCATGAAGTGAGGCGGGTGCTCAGAACAGTGAACACACGGAAAGCTGCAGGCCCTGATGGCATTCCAGGGAAGGTGCTCGAGGATGTGCTGACCAGCTCTCAGGAGCCCTCGCCAACCTCTTCAACCTCTCCTTGACACAAGCCTCAATCCCATCCTGCCTGAAATCTTCCACAATCATCCCCATACCAAAGAAATCAGCCACGGATAGCCTCAGTGACTGTCGCCCCATCGCCTTCACGCCAGTCATCATGAAGTGCTTCGAGACACTGGTCCTACACCACCTGAAGACCTGCCTCCCTTCCACCTTCGACGCATATCAGTTTGCCTACAGAACTAGCAGATCGAATGAGGATGCAATAGCCATAGCTCTACCATAATGCGCTGAGCCATCTGGAACATCAGGAGAGCTATGTGAGGACGCTTTTTATCGACCACAGCTCAGCCTTCAATACCATCATACCGGATATCCTCTTTAGCAAACTCACAGATCTGGGCTTCCCCTCACTCACTTGCACTTGGATCAGAAACTTCCTGACTGACCGCCCCCAGACTGTTAAACTCGGTCCCCATCTCTCCTCCACCCCCATGCTCAGCACTGGCTCCCCTCAGGGGTGCGTGCTGAGCCCAATTCTGTACTCTCTCTAAACGCATGACTGCCGCCCAGCCCATCACCATAACACCATCATCAAATTTGCTGATGATACTACAGTGGTGGGCCTAATCTCAAAGGGGGATGAGGCTGCCTATAGAGATGAGATCCTGATATTGTCAGAGTGGTGTTCAGCTGACACCTGACACTCAACACCACCAAAACAAAGGAAATCATCCTTGACTTTAGAAGGCACAGGGCAGACCCCGCTCCCCTCTACTTCAATGGAGACGGTTGAGACTGCGTAGAGAGACTGTGTAGAGAGGGTTCAGACATTCAAATTCCTTGGCACCATCATCTCAGCAGATCTCACATGGTCTGCCAAGACCACAGCAGTCATCAAAAAGGCACAGCAGCGCCTTTACTTCCTGAGAATGTTGCAGAAGAACAACTTGAAGGAGAAGCTGCTGGAGACCTTCTATCATTCTGCAGTGGAGAGCCTGCTGACATACTGTATCACAGTATGGTATGGCAGCTGTACTGAGGCAGAGAGAAAGGGAATACAGTGGGAATACAGTGGATCGTCAACACACAGACAGACAGACCCAAGGACAGCTTCTTCCCCAAAGCTATAATCACACTGAACACAAGGACCACTGCTGTCAATCAAACTGTTCTTTATAATATTTGAGATTATTTAAAAACCTACTTTTGTGAACTAGTCCTAGGTTTTAAACTCAAAATCAATAAAATCACTGCAGTACAATTCTTTAGTCTCTCTAGGTTTATATTTATCAAAAGAATGTTGAACATTTGCATTTGGACAGCTATAACAGGGTCATTTTAAAATATAGCCTTGATACAGTGTACCCAAAACCCTATTTAAAAAAAAAAGCCACACCACCTCAGCCTACACCAGGCCCCGACACCCCCCCCACTCGCTGTCCAGGAGCATGAAGTGAGGCGGGTGCTCAGAACAGTGAACACACGAAAAGCTCCAGGCCCTGACAGCATTCCAGGGAAAGTGCTTAAGGGATGTGCTGACCAGCTCTCAGGAGTCCCCGCCAAACTCTTCAACTTCTCCCTGACACAAGCCTCAATCCCATCCTGCCTGAAATCTTTCACAATCATCCCCATACCAAAGAAATCAGCCACGGATAGCCTCAATGACTATCGCCCCATCGCCCTCACCATGAAGTGCTTCGAGAGGCTGGTCCTACACCACCTGAAGACCTGCCTTCCTTCCACCTTTGATGCACATCAGTTTGCCTACAGAGCTAACAGATTGACTGAGGATGCAATAGCCATAGCTCTCCATAATGCGCTGAGCCATCTGGAACTTCAGGAGAGCTACGCGAGGATGCTTTTTATTGACTACAGCTCAGCCTTCAATACCATCATACCCGGACATCCTCTTCAGCAAACTCACAGATCTGGGCCTCCCCTCACTCACCTGCACTAGGATCAGAAACTTTCTGACTGACCGCCCCCAGACTGTCAGACTGTTAAACTCGGTCCCCATCTCTCTTCCACCCGCTCAGCACTGGCTCCCCTCAGGCAGGGCCGTTTCTAGCCAATTTGACGCCCTGGGCACACACACACACATTTTTTTAGTGCAATGTTTTTTTATTTCCCTATTCCTTCAGTGCAATGTTTTCTACATTAATACTAATGTAAATGTAATACTTCTACTCAGAACAAGAAGTGTACCTCATATCAGTGCAATATTTATTTTAACACAAGTAATTATTCACAAGCTATTATTTTTCATTTATTTAGCTGCAATTGTGTAAACTGTGATAATTAGATTTTTGACACTGCTGTCATCAAAGAAGGGACTAAACAAAACAAAACAAAAACTAATTTTTCTGATACTCGTTTTTTACACTGTTACACACTCAGCAGAAATGAATTAGAAACGGTTTCATATTCACGATTATGGGCAGAGCTACAGTATGACATCACTGCAGGTGAGTCAAAGACTTAAGTGAAAGTGAAACTTAACAGATGATCTGAGAGCTTTGTCAAACAACAACACTTCTATTAAGAAACTCGAAAATTAACAATCATATCTGTTGTTCACTTACAGGTAAGTGATGGAAATGTAAAGAGCTCGTTCAGTAGTTCAACAGCATGAAGCAGTATCATAATGTTAGTAAAAGTAGGGTAGAGTGGGGGGAAATGCCCCCCTTAAGGACAGTGTATTTTTTTCTGTGAAACAAAAGTTACATGTGTTCAGAAAAGTTATAATTTTAGTGACAATGACATAAATTATAAACCAAGTATGAAA